GCCCCCAGCCAGACGAAGTGCACAGAGTCCCCAAAACGAAAGCTCTCCCGGGCTTCCTTCCTCCTCAGACACCCGCCGGGTCCAGTTCGAAGCCCGGCGCTCTGAAACCAGGGCCCAGCGGGTGGATCCGTAAACCTGGGGTGACTAGGAGGCGACCCTTCTTTGAGATCTGCAGACCTCACCCTGCCCTCTCCCCACGCGCTCCTAGGATGGAGCTGTCGGAACGCAGGGCTCTGAGACGCTTAGGGCAAAGGTTCCCTTTCAGGGGTCCAAGGGTTTCCCGACGGGTGAATTTGTTTGGGGTGGATCGGTTTCTCGCGCTCCTCTCGCCTCCCCTGTGGTGAGGGTTTCCGAGAGGTGCGCCCAGTCCGCGGACTAGAGCCGGGGGGAAAAGCCGGGCGGTGCCCATTCTTTCCTTTTGGCGCTGAGGCCGCAGCCAGGGGCAAGCTCAGGCTTCAGAGGAGGTTCGCGCCTCCAGCGGCTTCCGCGGGGGGCCAGAAGAAAGTCTGGTTAGACCCCAAGGAGATCAATGGAGTGGCCAATGCCAACTCCCGTCGGCCATTCGGAAATTGATCAAAGATGGCCTTGCCAGCCGCAAGCCTGTGACCGTCCATTCTCGGGCCCGACGCCACAAAAGCACCCTAGGCCGCTGGAAGGGGACAGGTAATCGAAAGGGCACTGCCAATGGTCGCACGCCCGCCTGAGACGGCCGCATGGAGGAGGAGGATTCTGCGCCGGCTGCTCGGGAAAGACTGGGAGTCAAAGAAGATTAACGCCATAGGTATCACAGCCTGTCCCTGAAGGGGAAGGGGAACGTGTTTAGGAACCAGCGGATTCTCAGGGTACATCCACAAGCTGAAGGCAGCCGGGCCCGCAAGAAGCTCCTGGCTGAGCAGGCTGAGGCCCGCAGGTCTGAGACAAAGGAGGCACGCAAGCGCCGTAAGGAGCGACTCCAGGCCGGCACGGCAAGAAAAGATCTTCAAGACTCTGTCCGGGGAGGAAGAGACCAAGAAATAAACTCTCGCCTTCTTCTCTGCATATAGTGGCCTTGGCAGTTCTAGTGATCAATAAAAGCAAGCCTTGTTGGCCTGCCCCTAAGCTGCAAAAAAATTTTTAAAAGACAGGATGTGCCAGTCAAGGGCGGGTTCCAGAAAGCTGAGGGGACCAGAGAGTTGTCCGCCTGTCAGCAGATAACAGTGTCCAGGGAGCCACTGAAGTGACAGATCCCCTTCTCCCTAAGCCGCACTTCTGGGGAGTCAAGTGCTCACCGTTGTGCAGCGGAAGGCGCAGGGTGGACTTAGGATACCTCGCGGGGGCGCCTCCCCCTCCATCATCTCTCCCCACTGGAAATACTTTCCGTTTTTTCTTAGCTAAAGTTAAACCGCTCTCTACTTCACGGGGCTGGTGTGAGTTTTAGGTGCACTGATACACATCCTACATACACAGTGCCTGCTAGCTCTCAGGCGGACTGTTCTGGAGCCGGTTTCAGATTGTGTGGTTTAGACAAACCGCTCAGGCACTGGCATCAGAACGTTGGAAAGATTAGGACATCCTTGAGTGCGTGCGTTTGCTCTGTGCTTTAGACCGGCATCAATTACTGTATACTTACTGCCATTGAATCCATACAAGTCACAGCGATGCTCCAGAACAGGGCAGAGCTGTCCTTTCCAGAACTCAACTCTTTCTTCTTCCCTCTCTCTTTTACAATGATCTATTTGAGCAGTCTGATCACACATGGTTCATGCATGGTCATGAACATTCAAATAGGAAACCAAATAGAATCAGATGTTAAAGACTGGTCTTCAAACATCATAGCCAATGCTCTCGCCAATATAAAACCACAGCCACACGTTAGAGGCCACCAAAGCGTTCAGGAACGCTTCCTTAAAACTGTGAGCTGTTGGACTGGCCGGGTCTGAGGACTACTGACTACTGTTTTTCCCCAGGCTCAGGATAGCTGCAGGGAGCTCAGCAGGGGTTGGAGGAACCAGCTCCACCCTGCCACTGTGCCCATACGTGGCCATTTGAGGCTTCCAATAAATCACAGCAGCGTTTACCATCCGAACTGTTGCCATCAGGCTATGGATACATTAGGCCATGGTTCTAGGACAGAAACCCCTGTTACCCGAAATTCTCTCTCGGAGCAGCTGGTGGTTTGGAACTGCTAACCTGGAGGATCGTAGACCAATGAGTACTCACACCACCTGGCCACCAGCCACCTCAGCCCCTCCCCCGACCCCTCTCCATTCCAGATGGGTCCATACTCAAAATTAACGCATCCATTCATGCCAGTTCAGACCTGAGGGGTAAAACTCCAGAAGAAATAAAATTGTAAAGCTGAGGATGTTGGTGTTGATTCTACATTTCTTAAAATGTGCAACGGAATCACATTTCACAGGTGCCAGAAACAAGGCGAGGGAGGTGAACGAGCTTTCTACGTTCTCAAGTTGGTTTGGTTATAGCTAATATTCTCTTCTCAACTACCAGGCAATTCACTCAACTACCAGATCTTCGAAAGGGGAACGTTAGCAAAGGGCAAGTCAAAGGAATCTGAAAAGGGCTGCTCACAATTAGCAGGAAAAATAGAAGTGAAAGTGATGGCGAGGGAGTGGCGGCCCCGTGGGGACATCTTTTCAGAATTTGGTTCTGACGGCTCCAGGTGGGAGATGGGTGAATCCCAGGGAAGCAAGCCTCTATTAACTGTCTCGGAAAAGTAAGGCTGAGGCGAGACAGTGTGAAAACGGACATCTCAGACCCGGGTTGCCACGGAAAAGATGTAGTATTTCAGGTTCGTCTGGAGAGGATCCAGACTTAGGGGGAGTTTTCCTTAGGAAGTAGCTAGATGGGAGAAGGGTCTGTCCCCCTGCAGTGGTGCATCTAAGCGTGCACCAGTAAAGCCAGCCTAGATGGGCTGGAGGAGATGATGGGCACAGAGAAAATTATTCCCAACAATCCCCCATGCCCCTACCTTTATTTAGAAAGGGAATCAGGTCAGGAAAGGAGGGTCTCCTGGCTTATTGCTCACACCTCCTTCGTCAAGATGGATGAGCAAGCCCTGCGTCCTTCCAGCGGAGGTGTGCTTGTTTATAAGGTGGATGCAACGGCTTTGATGCCCAGCTCTCACAAGAAAAGTGCCCCTCCAGGTGCCCCTGGGTGAGAACTCAAGGGCTAGGTACCCAATATGAGTTTTGAACTCAAGGGCTAGGTACCCAATATGAGTTTTAAATAGAAGGCAAAAACATACTTTTATGTAAAGTATGAATTCTTTCTTTTTCCACAAAGAGAAAAGGGAAGGAGCTTCGGCAGGGCAGCACAGGGGCTCAGGAAATGGAGTAGGCCGCCAAATAGGTTTACTGAGAAAAGACCATGTGTCCCCAAAAGTAAGTCTCTAGAAGTTTGATATGGAGGACATTTCCTCCCTCCCCCCACCCCCTTTATACCTTTCTCTACTCACTGAGATCCAGCGCAGCACAATTACGGAGTGACTACTCTGAGGGAGACGTGACAGATGCATGACCTCTTTATGACTGCAGGACATAGCTTTCGGTGGTTATTTCTTGTGAGATGTCAGCTCCCAGAGTTCTAACTGGGAAAAGAATCTGCAGTACACGTATGTATGGCGACCTTCCAAGGATCATCTTGTGCATAACCAGCAAGTGCATTCCATGTCACAGGGTCCTTGTTCTAACTAAATTGTACTTAAAACAAACATCGTGTTAAACCCGGCTAAGAGATTTTCTATGGAAAGTGTCTCCAGGGTGGATTTCTTGGGAAATGAGGAGACTTTGCAGCCTACTAAAACAACCACTTTCTCCTCTATCTGTTTTTGTAGATTTCCTTTTGTATTATTGAGGACTGGCTTATGATGAATTGTTTAGATCCACTGTAGCTATCTGGCCAGCTAAGAAAATGGAACAAGTTAGCAAATGTGTGTGTGTGTGTGTGTCTCCCCAACAACGTACAAGGAGATGGAGTCTAAACTAGAGGTGGTCATAAGTTCTATCTGGAGGTGGGTGGGTGCCCTCCTCGCTGCTGCATCAGGTCCCCCTGGCTTGCTTCACAGGTACACGGGGAGAACTTAGCAGTGCTTTCCTTCTCTTCCGGATTGTTGCCTTCAACCTGGACCAAGGGAACAGGATCTCCACTTTGCGTTTCTGTATGGTTATTCTCGGGTAGTAAAACACATCGTGATAGAAATTTGAATCTGGAAACCCCCTGAAAGTTGCTTAATCTAGTTCTAAATGCTTTCCTCATTATCACTGGGATCTCCCCCAATCTGTAGAAACATTTGAACAACGGAACTTCAACTTCATAAAGAAAACAAAAGATTACACGGGACTGCATTTGAATGCTTTTGTTGGAAGATGTGTTAAAATCTTGCCTCCCTGAAATTTTCTGTGCTCAGCGTTTACTTGGTTGATACCGTACAATTGCGAAATGAACTCTTCTTCTCAGAGTATCTTCACAATTCTCCAAAACGTCTGCAGGGCTGGGGTGGGGTTGTTTAGGAATGGGCTATAACATTATTTAGTGATGCCTTTGTTGCTAGATAT